GGTTAGGGTTTGAGTAAGGGTTTATGGTTAAGGTTTAGGGGTTACAGTTTGCTTTTTGAGTTGGTAGCTATGGTTTAGTATTAGGGTTTAGAGTTTATGGTTTGGAGTTTGGGGTTAGGGTTCACTATTAGGCTTTAGGCTTTAGGTTTGGGTTAAGAAAAGGACTAGTTTGGGTTAAGATAAGACTAGATCTTATGATTAGGATTTTAGGGCAATGGTGAGTTTTTTAAGGTTAGAGTTAAAGGTTAGGATTAAGTGATAGGGTTAGGGTTTAGGATTTGAGAATAGGATTATGGTTTAGGGTTTGAGGTTTAAAGTTTAAGGTTTAGAGTTAGGGCTGTTTAGGCCTAGAATTATGATTCATATTATAGGTTTCGGTTTTGAACAGGTGTTAGGGTGTTTCCTTTTTTTTGAACTGATACTTTTCAAAAAGTCCATTCTGTTTTGTTGATCTATCTGCCAATACCACACCCTCTTGATTACTGTACCTTTACAAGTACAGTCTTGAAAAGTTATCACATACTTTTGAACGGTATGTTTTCATTATCATTCCATTGAAAATATTTTCTAATTTCCCTATGCTTTATTTTTTGACCCATGGATTATATAGAAGCGTGTTTTAAAACTTCAAAAAAAACTTTTCTCCTAGATAACTTGTTGATTTCTCATAAAATTATTTTGGCTGGAGAACATACTCTTATGATTTCAATCTTTTTAAATAAATTATTATTTGTTTTATGTCTTAACATATGATCTATGTAACTGAATGTACCATATGCATGTTACAGAATATATATTCTGCAATTGTTGAATCTAGTTTCTGCAGCTGTCATTTAGGTCAGGGTGACTGATAGTGTCATTCATTCGTATTTGTATTTTTTATTTGTTTGTTTATGTATTTATTTATTTATTTTTGAGTTGGAATCTCACTCTGTCACCCAGGCTGGAAGACAATGACACACTCCCGGCCACCGCACCCTCAACTCTTGGGCTCAGGCAATCCTTCCGCCTCAGTCTTCCAAGTAGCTGGAACTATAGGCACATGCCACTATCTCCAGCTAATTATTTATTTATTTATTGTAAAGATGAGGTCTCATCAAGTTGCCCAGGTTGGTCTTGAACCTGCGGGCTCAGTCAATCCTCTCACCTTGGCCTCCCAAAGTGCTGGGATCATAGGCGTGAGCCACCACGCCTGACCTCTCATTTGTATTTTTATGAAACTAAGAAGTCAAGTGTGGTGCCTCACACCTGTAATCCCAGCACTTTGGGAGGCCAAGGTGAGAAGATTGCCTGAGCCCAGGGATTTAAGACCAGCCTGGGCAATATGGTGAAACCTCATCTCTACAATAAATCAAAAAATCAGCCGGACATGGTGACACGTGCCTGTGGTTCCAGCTACTTGGTAGGCTGAAGCAGAAGGATTACCTGACCTCAGCAGGTCAAGGTTATGGTGGCCGTGAGCATGCCACTGCACTCCAGCCTGGGCAGCAGAGTGACACTCTGATTCAAAAAAACAAAAAAAGCTGGGTTCGGTGGCTCAGCTTGTAATCCTGCGCTTTGGGAGGCTGAGGTGAGTGGATTGCCTGAGCCCGCGGGTTCAAGACCTGCCTGGGCAACTTGGCGAGACCTCATCTCTACAATAAATCAAAAATCAGCCGGGTGTGGTAGCGTGTGCCTGTAATTCCAGCTACTCGGAAGGCTGAGGCAGAAGGATCACCGGAGCCCAGCAGATTGAGGCTGCGGTGGCTGGGAACGGCCACTGCACTCCAGTCTGGGTGACAGAGTGAGACTCCAACTCAAAAAAAAAAAACTAAGAAAAAAGCATCTTTTATTTTCCCCTATGTATTTAACACTGCATACATAAATATATAAGATATATAAGTATAAAAATTTGCATTTTAAATACAAATTATTTTTGTATATAGTTTTATCCAATGGCTTTAACACACTTGAGCCCTGATTTTTTTTTTTAAATCATATCTCCGGCTACTTGGAAGGCTGAGGCGGAAGGATCGCCGGAGCCCAGCAAGTGGAGGCTGCAGTGGCCGCTTGGCGACAGAGTGAGACGCCAACTCAAAAAAAAAAAAAAATCATATCTCCAGATTTTGCTGTATTACAACAGTTTGTGAAAACCACAAACCTATATGGATGAATCTATATCACAGGTACTTTGCAGAGGGAGGTTTCTGAAAGCAGCTCAGAGAGATGGGAATGGAATGTAGGTATGTATCCATTATGTGCAACCTGATTAACCATCTTCTAATCCCAACTCTTGGAGGGCTGAGAGGATGCTCCCCTCACCAAGGCATTAGGTACCTCTTGACATTTATACATATAAAAACTGATAGGACTGCTGGGTAATAACCAACTTGGAGTCATGGGTATTCAAAAATTCTTACCCAATAACAAGTCAAAGCTAGTTAATATGTCAGAGCCCCTCATTTGAGGGGAGGGCTGGTGCCACTGAGAAAGAACCCTGTAGCATTTTCCTAGAAATGTTCTTCCAACAGGCTTTTCCCAGAGGAACATGTAGTAATTTGCCACTGTTCAGGGGAAAATGGAAACACCATAAATAATCTGGGAGCTCAATTTTAATGTCTTTTTGTCTTTCTTTCTTGACTTCTTTCTTTCTCTTTTCTTTTTCCCCTCTTTTTTTTTCTTTTAGAAATGAGTTCTTACTATGTTGCATAGGCTGGTCTCAAACTCCTGGGCTCCAGCAATCCTTTCACCTCAGCCTTCCAAAGAGTTGGGATCACAGGCCTTAATGTCTTGAATTTTATCCAAATGTTACCTTGGGGTTAATATGTTATTGTAATGTGTATTAAAAAAATTTCAGCCAGGCATGGTGGCTCACGCCTGTAATCCCAGCAAAGGTAGGAGGATTGCCTGAATCCAGGGGTTCAAGACCAGCCTGGGCACTTGGTGAGACCTCCTCTCTACAATAAATCAAAAAATTAGCTGGGCATGGTGGTACATGCCTGTGGTTCCAGCTACCTGGAAGGCTGAAGTGGAAGGATTGCCTGAGCCCAGCAGGTCAAGGCTGTGGTGGCCATGAGCATGCCACTGCACTCCAACCTGGGCTACAGAGTGAGACTCTGACTCAAAAAAAAAAAAAAATTCCCTAACCTAAGGGTATAAAGATATGTTGCTGGGTAGGTGTGGTGGCTCACGCCTATAATCCAATGACTTTGAGAGGCCTAGGTGGAGGATTGGTTGAGCCCAGAAGTTCAAGATCAGCTGAGCAACATAGTGAGACCTACTCTCTCCAAAAACTCAAAAAATTAACCAGGCATAGTGACATGCCCATGTGGTCCCAACTATTTGGGAGGCTAAAGCAGAAAGATTGCCTGAGGTCAGGAAGTTGACTCTGCAGTGAGCCATGATCACGCCACTGCACTCACTCCAGCCTGGCCAACAGAGTGAGATAGTGACTAAAAAAAGAAAGGGGGCTGGGCACAGTGGCTTACACCTATAATCCCAGCACTTTGGGAGGTGAAGGTGAAAGGATTGTCTGAGCCCAGGGGTCCAAGACCAGCTGAGCAACTTGGCAAGACCTCATCTCTACAATGAATTGCAGAGTTCCAGCTTCCGGAGAGCAGGGCCTGAGTTGGGGGGAGGGAATGAGAAAAGAAAGACAAAGAAACAGCGGGACTGGGAGGTCTTCTCAATAGGTGAGAGCAATTTTATTCTCACAGCATACCTTTGGCGGGATTACTATAGCACTAACATCTTTGTTTTTTGTGAGTCTAAGTAAAACTACTAGCATCTGTGTTCTTTAAAGTTTTAAGCAAAGTTATTATTAAAGCAGGCTACATCCAGCCTACACAGACTAGAGATCACACTATCTGAATCCTACTAAATCAACATTCTCAGGGGCAAACATCTGGAGAAGGAGATACCGGCCAAGCTCTTGTTAGAGCCAGGCCAGGAACACAAGGACCTTGTGAACTTGTGTATTTTAAAACATAAGGACTTTGTCAGCTTATGCCTTTGTCTCCTTCATTTCCTCCTTTTCTTTCTTTTTTTTTAAGTGCAATTTGTGGACCTCTATTCAGAGTTCTCGGATGGCCCGTACTCCTGCTCAGATGCAGACTGGAAAACAAAACAATAGAATCAAAATTAAAACTCCAAATGCTATCATAGAATATATAGTAGATCACAAACTATAGGTGGATACCAAATGCATAATCTTATTCATGGTATCTGTAGCCAAGGCACTGGTGGGCAGCAAAGAAGACCCAGAGGTGGAGATTCCCACAGTATCCCAGTGCAGTTGGGCAATATCTAAGGAAATATTATTTGCAGACCATATCCCAAGCAAATGATTTTCAACCAAGTCCAGTCCCATTCAGAGTCATTGTATGGCTTTGAAGTAATGCAGATCCATTGAAACTCGGCATGACATCTTAATGACACTGGGGTTCTTAAAGCTGTTAGTTGGTCTCCAATGACTAGTACTGCCGCCTTGAGGGCATTGAGTCTGGCTTCCAATTTCACATCAATGATTTCTTGATGAGACAGTGCTATGGAAATATTCTTTGCCAAATGATCCACGTAATGGGCTGTGTGGATCTCCTGAGTCAATGCTATTGCTGAAGTAGTAGCTGAAGCAATCAATGTTACTAAAGCAGTAATACCTGCTACTAATAATCCAATAAACCTGCGAGGGTGATCAAGGAGATTAGACAATTGAGACAAAGCATGTCAACTAGAATCTGGATACCATGGTCCAGAGATATTTACAGGCATCATAACAAAAGAAGGTTGATGTAACACCACAATTTGTTGTCCTCTGTTTTGAGGAGAAACACAATTATTGAGATTACAATAAGAACACTGTGAGGAAAAATAAAAGGACTCCATAGTAATTTTCCAGGGCCCTGCCAATAAAATGTAAGGGGGGGAACACAGGCAAACACCTTATGGGACCCCGTGAAGAACATCCTTCATAAGAAAATCCATCTACCCATTGTGGAATAATAGAGTCAGTAGATGGGTACCCAAGTAAAGAAGCATTACTAACATATACAGGACCAAGGGATCATCCCAGACCACCACCCTTAAAAAGGGGGGGTCAGGCACATAGGCCCAATAGGGGGATCCATCACCGACCATCACACCCACCTGGCAGGTGACCACAACCATCATAACCAGGAACAGGGTAGCAGGATCAGAAGCGTTCCCACCACGCTCCTGCACCAGACATTCAGCTTGGGAAGTCAACGCCTTCAGTAGCCCCCACGCCGGGGCCCTGCTCTGTCGTGTCAACCTGGAGCGAGGGGTCTGTTGAACTGGCACCGTTCCCGGCGGCACGATGGTTGTCCTCCTGAACGGGGGAATCGGTGTCCCCACTTGCACGCGGGAACGGGGGGCTGGAGTAGGGGCAGACAAGCTGGGCCGGGAGCCATCGGGGATCTTCTGCATTCCTAGGAAAAATACAAGCACTGCCTCATCCCCAAATGAGTACAGGATCAGGCCCTTGCCACAGCCCTATCATAGGATCTTTCCAGTGGACCAAAGCCTCCGCCTTAGGTGACGGGCGAAAGAAACATTCCACCGCTGACACTCCGTCATGGCCTAAATTGAAAAAACTGATCATTAATAAAGCATGTGCTAACAGAGTATGTGGGGAGGGATGTCCATATTCCCCCTTTTTCAGTTTTTGCACGTTCAACATTCTGTTAGCCTTTTTAACAATCCCTTGTCCCTGAGGATTATAGGGAATTCCGGTGGACTGGGAGTCTGGAAAGTGGCACAAAAATTAGCATAGGCCTTGACAATATAGGCAGGGCCATTGTCAGTCGTAATAGATTTAGGGATACTCATAACAGCAAAGGCTGCAAAGCAATGAGTTGTTACATAATGAGCAGTCTCACCTGAATGAGCTAAGGCAAAAAGAAAACCAGAACAGGTATCCATGATAACATGAATATAAGCCAGCAAAGCTCGGTGGCTTGGCCCGTAATCCCAGCACTTTGGGAGGCTGAGGTAAGTAGATTGCCTGAGCCTGCGGGTTCAAGACCTGCCAGAGCAACTTGGTGAGACCTCGTCTCTACAGTAAATCAAAAATTAGCCAGGTATGGTAGCGTGCGCCTGTAGTCCCAGTTACTCAGAAGGCTGAGGCAGAAGGATCACCGAAGCCCAGCAGGTCGAGGCTGCAGTGGCCAGGAGCGTGCCACTGCACTCCAGTCTGAGTGACAGAGTGAGACTCCAACTCAAAAAAAAAAAAAAGAATATAAGCCAATCTCCCAAAAGAGGGGGCATGTGTCACATACATTTGCCAGAGGTGTCCCGGCAAGAGGCCCCTAGGATTCACACCTGTGGAAGGAGGGTACTGAAACTGTGGGCAAACAGGACAATCTTTAACTATATGACGTGTGACTTCCCTGGAAAGTGCAAATTGGCGACGCAAACCTTGAGTATTCTGATGATGAAGGGCGTGAGAAGTGGCGGGAAGCAGGGAATAACAATGGGAAGGCAAAAAAGCATGTTACTGCATCAGCCAAAGCATTGCCCTTAGACAAAGACCCTGGCAGCACAGAATGAGCACGAATATGTGCAACAAAAAAGGGGTGGTGGGAGCATGGATTCGTATCTGAATCTCCTGTAAAAGCGAAAGTACTTAGTGAGAAGAAGAAACCGGGACAGGCAAACTAGCAGTTTCCAAATGAGATAACCCAATGGTAACATAGTGACCATCTGTAAACAAATTAAAAGGCATGTTAGGGAGTTGGAGAAAAACCTGGCAGACCGCAAACAATTCCACACGTTGAGTGGAGTCTTAGCCTGTTTGGAAGCAGGAAATAGTACCATGGATGACAGCGGTTGCTGTTCCCAAGGAAGATCCATCAGTGAAAACCAATTTTGTGTCCTGTAAAGGCTGGGTGCTTGTAAACTGAGGAAAAATAAAAGGATGATTTTTTGCAAAAGTAAGGAGACAAGAGGGTGGATAATGGGAATCCAGCTGTCCAGAGAAGTGGGCCGTGGCCAGCTGCCATGCAGGGCATGTTTCCCAGAGCCAAGTCATTTGAGGAGCAGTGTAAGGAACTATGATTAAAAGAGGCTCCTGGCCAAAAAGCTCCCTGTCTCGGTGCTGGCCTTTTGCAATGAGGAGGGCGTCGCCATGAGGTTGCTAAGTGTAGCCATTCTACTGGCCCAAGTTGTCAAAACACATCTGTTGGTAAATAGGGTATGGGCAATATGAGAAATGACCAAGGATCAGCAAAAGAAATTAGAAAAATCTGTTGTTGGGCAATAGCCTCCTGGACCAATTGCAGCGCAGCCAGGGCTTCTGGCGTGAGATGCCGTGGAGATTGAGGGTCAGAATCTCCTCTTAAGATATCAAAGAGAGGCCAGGCTCGGTGGCTCAGCCTGTAATCCCGCGCCTTTGGGAGGCTAAGGTGAGTGGATTGCCTGAGCCCACAGGTTCAAGAC